GCCTCCGAGAAATCGATGTTGACGGTCTGATAATCCAACGTGGAGCTGAGGGGTCTGCTGACCAAGGAGCAAATGCGTGATGCCCCTTGCCATCGTGACGTCCGCTATTCCATTCGACGCGGCTGGCTCTACGGTTTTCGTGGGGGTAAGAAGACGAAATTCAAGGTCATGCATGCCTTCCGGAGCTTTAGTCCCGTCATCTTTCCATCACTAACACAATCTTGAGAAGCTGAACAAATTATCAAGAGCTTGATTTACTATTTTACGTTTGATCTTCTCGCGTTATAGGATAGCGTACGATGGTTCAGCCCTCATGTTAGCTCCATGATCTGTTGTTAGTCAAAACCAAACCTGTTATGTACAAAATCGCTTTGCAGTCGCCCAATGGGACGCTAGCAGCCTAAAGTAACTATCAGATCAAGCCACAATCCCAAGCTCTGGGATCCGTACGGGCTGGGCGGCGGCTACGCGGTCACGGAAGGAACGCCCGTTTGTTTAGTAGCCTGGGGTTGTGACTTGCCATGTGACTCTAAGCCTGCGGCCAAGCGGTGTGGGTGGATGTCTCAGAGTCCTTGGTCTCCAGTGCGAGGACTATTGACGCGTCTGCTCGGGGCTGGGGAGCCGCTGCCGCTTCGTATCGAAGATAAGCTGGCATGTTCATTCTTCCACCGACTGTTCTTCAGTAGGCTGAATTTACATCTCGCTTCGACATACATGACAATGTGCCAAAAGTTGTCCGAGGAAACTGCCGGGGCGGCTAATCCCGATACACTCAATGTGTGCAGGCTTGACAATCCACTTGAGGCAATGGAAGAATTCAATAAAAGCCGGAAGGTCGGGGAGGCTAGGCAGCCCTCCGAGTAGACTCAACATTACAATGCGGCCTTGTGATTTGCCACGACGTTTGTTTGTATATTGATCAGCTGGACGCGCAACTATCACCGGGGAGGTTGTACAGTCTCAGGTGGGTGCCGTTGGATGTGGGCTTCGCCCACCCTCTGATGGCTTCTACATATGCGACTCCTCGGACGCACAAGGCTGACAGTGATTTTCGTGTTTTCGATACAGTTGTGTAGGTCCTGCGGTGATCCGGATCATCGCGATGGTGTTACGACGGCAATGTACATGACAAGTGATTCCATTTGGAATCATGTAAGGTGCCATGAATGCAAAGATGCTCTTTAGCTTCGTCTCTTCACCCCCAGAACTCAGGTAGACTCTCAAAACGTTTGATGTGACGTAGCCTTTGCCGAATCTTTGAACTTGGTGAAGTCGATCGGCCGACGCTTGACTCTAGCGAGGCGTCTTGTCTTGTCCGCCGGGCAAATTCTCGGACATGAATAACATTCTTTGCCGTAGTGTACCCCTCATTGTTACCAGTTCTTGTCAACTGGTGATGCCCCGGTAAGGACAAGACGCATAAACAACTTTGCTTCCAGACGGCAACAGCTGGGAGAAAACCCCGTTCTATATAAAGACCTCGTATCGGATGGAGTAGGTGAGCATGCGAAGGAAACCGGAATATCTGCCAAGCAGAACTTGGGGGAAGGAGATTTATCGTTATTTTGGCATCGGCATCATCTCGCACGATGGCTCAACACAATATTGAGCTTGACGTAGATAGTTGAGTGGTCCTATACGGTAAGGAAAAAGAAACACGGCCTTTACAAATGTTTCATTCACTTTGATTCCTCGCCTCAGAGGACAAAATAGAAATCGGAGCCGGAGCCGAGGGTCGCCTTGTTGACTTCGAATAACTTTACGGACTCTGGGATTGTATCTGTGGCATCATATCGAAAGGCAACGTTGATGAGGGAGTTCACTGGTATCTTTAATAGCTTCGCTATAAGCAACGCTTTCTAGTCTACGGAACAGGCATTTTTGTCCATAAGGCGCAGCACTCTTCAAAAACATCCAGAATATTGTTGCCATCATAACAGAGTTTGCAGCAAGAATCATATTCCCCCATCCCAGCCCTAGAGTCGAATATAATGGGGCAAGCGAGGGGTATAAATGCTCCAAATACACTACGAAGATAAGTGAAGTGAAAGCAGCGAGTGCGGAGGCGGCATATGTGCTGATTACATGAATGAGGTATGACGCAAGTGGGGTCTGAAAGATTTGTTAGTATTCTCAAATTCTGAATATCGAGACTCCCACGACTGGTTGGTTTGGAGTAGTCTTTACTTACAAAGACATATGGCATGCCGACGCTAACGATAGTTATGCTGATCATGGAAACCATCCAACTACAGCTTTCTCAGCCGACTACCTACATAAAAGCAACCCAAGTGGGATTATGGATACGGAGTGTGGCATGAGGGGTAGACGCAGCCTAGGTCTCCTGACTCCTTCTTCGAGAAGCAACGTTGCGGCGAAACGATCAACCCGGATTGAGACAAGTACTGCTCCAATACATTCCCTATCTCGACCCCCTTACACGTGGGACCAGAAGAGCTGGCTGAAAGCCGACTGGCCTCTTAAGGCCATCGGAGAGGTTGTGACGAAGGGGTCCTGAGAAGCAAGATTAGAAAGGTACAAAGCAGTTGTAATAGTAGATGAGCAGAAACATACCAGGTATCTATAAACAACGGCGGAGTAAGAGGAAAGTCGGAGAACTACTGGATGTAGCAATAAAAGACGAGGAAGCCTCTTGATAGCATGGAAGAAAGCATTTCCGGGCGAGATACCGTCGGCTGAAGCCGAGACAAAAAATAAGTCTCCAACGGCTTTTTTGATCTTTCTGCTGCGTTTCTCGAGCAGTGGCTTCGCAAAGATCTCTTTGAGAATCCAATCAAGATTGTGGTCACACCAAGTGTTCCTATCTATGAGATTGGCCTTTAGAGTTAGCGATTTATGTATGACTGACCACAGCATCTTTGACCGAGGGTTCACATACCGTGATACAAAACTTCCAGAAGATCCAACGCCAACCCAAGCATTCGGCTGAAAAGTTGCCCGCTACTGGCCTAAGTACAGAACTTAGCAGTGCGACAATGGAGTAGACAGTTACGGCTCGACCCCGCAATGCTGGAAGTGCCACAATCGGTGATTGTACCGCCTCCGATGGAAGTGCAGAGGCACCGGGAAATCCGCTGAGGAAGCGAAAGACGAGCAAGACGTCAAGACTGTGCGAGACAGCACAAGTTGCGTTGCTGGCATGGGGAAGAGGATTTGAGATAGTGCATCCTGTATATCTTCCGTGCGCTGAAGATAGACATAAGGAGAGAAGTCAGAGCTCTGTGGCGTTGAAATACCTAAGAATGCTCGGTACGGCGGGAGCGGGAGCGGGCTAGGCAACTACCCTTCAAGGAGAAACACATCAGTAATTGTGCCATGAACGGATCAAGTCATTTCGAGCCGATGCTATTCGCGCATGTAGCATGAAAATACTCACAAAAACGACCTGCACCCATCTTGACCTCATTGCCCAATGCATCGACTCTTCGGGATCCTGCGGTTTCTTTAAATCGACTATGTATGATGAATCCTTCTCCGAGACTGTTGAACGATCACTAGCCGAGGGGGCAAAGTAAGGCGATCGAGCCGACTCATTGTCGTCGGGAATACTACTAAAGGCGGTGCCCATGTAGAGGTTGAGCTCATCAACCGGTCCCCAAGGACGGCCGTCCGCGCTGAGCCGAAACCACGAGAATCCTGATGTCCGTGAATGTCTAGAAGATTCACTGCTGACCCTAGATCGTCTCTCCGCCGATGCCACTGGCTCTGGGTACCGTGGCTCGTCTTGCCCCGTTACCGCATGGTCTTCTTGGGTGGAAGCCATTGGGCCTAGGTTCCACACCCTGGTCTCATGAGAAGCTCCGGTTGATAGCTTAGCGAGTGTTTTCGGAAGAGAGTGAATGAACCAAGACGACTACCGCTAGAAAGACAGTCCAGGAGTCTGGGGTAGTGTCCGGATGATATGCAGCGGGGAAGCAGCGTCGCGGGATCTGACCCTAGCCCTTCCCCCGGGTTCGGACATAATCGCTTTGCCATTTGAACACTGCCCACTTGCCGCAGTCATAATAGCATTGTGTTGAGAGTAAACGACTGCCATAGTTGGTGGCGTTGTGGTGCCTGACGGGGCCCCGCTAAATGGGCTGTCGATTGCTTCAGATAAATTCGTCGGAGGGTTATCACATGACGGATGCCGGCAAGTTCCTCGTAGCACTTCTGTGTGTTGTAGGGCCGGCATGGCCGAGGAGCTGAATACTTAGGTGAACGTGTTAAAGGGCTGTACAGTAAACGTCAGGCGTAAAACGCGCGGGTTTCCCCGGCCGATCTGGGTGTTGCGTAGACCATCTGCCGCGCGAGCCGACCTTCAGAGCGTCCAATAAATCATGTACTATGATTTTCTGACTGGGCTTGTCTTCTACGTCTGCTGCTATTCACGGAGGGTTGGGTCTAGGCCCCCTGTTTCACGTTGTTCGAGAATGAATCGTATGACGCCTGGTCCGAACTGTGTGATGGAACTTTAACCTTGGCCCCCAAGCTGTCAAATGCAGCACGTCAAACTTCCTAAGTGAAAAGCTCGCTTTGCGAAAATTCGAGATTAATTGTGTATATTTGGGTAGATCCCATCATACAACTCGCAGAATATCCCGTTCCGCCTCCTGTCAAGCTTTCTCAGACCTGCTAGGGACGAGATGAGTCCTGTGCGAGTGAAGGCCTTGGAACAGGCTACTGGGTTCATTCGCAGTCCCGAGATAAAACCTTTAATTGATGAGAAATTAGTGGTCATTCGGTTCTCTTGATGTTGTCACTGAGCGTGCATGGTAACTTCGAGAGCTATGGCCTTTCGTGACCAAGAAGAAGGCGCCGATCCCATAAAAACACTTGACACGAGATCTTGTGACAAAGAGTAACTAATGTATTTTGAACATAGAGATATTCCCAACTTCTGTGTTCTAGGTTATGTGAAGTGTCTTCTAATTCTTAGGGTCCATATATTGAACTCCAAACTGAATAACACCTGGCGGCACCGATAGTACCTAATGAGCTTATCGATGAAGAATTCTGTGCTCCAAATACCTCAAGGGGAGGTAGAAAATGGCGCTCATTATGAAGGCAACCTCGAAACCCACATCGCCCGTCGTTTCTGCAATCGGTCCCGTCCACCAGGCTTGAGCCATACAAGGGATGACGAGACCGAAACTCAAGATGCCGGCCCCGAGTGCCGCCGCCCCACTGGGAAGACCGGAAGAGACGTTCCAAACATGTTGATCGTACAATTTGGGGTTTCCTTTGCGGAACAGAAAGTGCTCTACTAGCACAATGCCAACGAAGGAGGCAGACCAGTACCCGATCAAAGCCACAAAGTTCTCCAAGTTAAGAAAGAAGTCATCAGCTGCCTTGATAGCGACCGGGATCATGATGGCTGTGACGATGACTGAAAAGATGTAGCGAGGAACTCGAACGAGCCAAGGTACCAGCGTCTGGAAATTTAGTGTAATGGCATAGAGAGTGCCAGAAACGTTGCCGAGTAGTGTGAATGCCAAGATGACGATAACGAACTTTCCAAAGCCACCAGCCGGAGACAACATGGCAGCTAATACACCACCGACTAGAGTCTTGTCGTATTCCTCTTGCCACTCAGGCACGTTGGTGATGGCACCGCCAATTGCACTACCTAGCGTCATTAGAGGGACAGTAGGAAGGATCAAGCCCAGGTAGCTGTAAGTAAATATGCGGTGCCTTGGATCGGGTAGTTAGATATCAGAATGCATTGCAACCACGGGAAGGACTTACGATGCCCAGCGGACCTTTGGGTCAAAGTAGGTTGTTAAGTCTGAAGCAATGCAAGCCCATGGAATCATGTATGATGCAACAATCATGCCGAAGCTCAGAACTGCAGATGCGGTTGCTGGGACCATCTCAGCTTGTTCAGCCAGTCTCGAACCTCCACATCCAGTGGCGATTACAATGGCGATTACTGCTGGAATGAAGGCGTATGTCTCATAGAAGTGTAACACCTTAAACCCACAAAATGAGATGAATAAGGACAGTATTGCAATGAGCACGATGCCTAGATCTGGACTAAGAGCACCGCTTGTGACGGCCGATAGACACTGGCCACCAACGACGCAGATGATTACACAGAATCCAGTCAATGTAGCAAGGTTGAGGACAACTGGCACCGATACAAGGTAGCGCCTAAGGAAAGAGGTCAGCAATACGTAGTGTCCTTGGCTGGCGAGATGGCTGACCCGAAGCTGTATCGCGCTTGTATCATCGAGCGCATACCCGTTTTGGGACCAAGCGTTGCGAGAAAGGCCGGAGCCAGCGTTGATAGCAGCGTGAAGAAGAGAATAACCAGGAACGAGTCGCGGAGCTTGAGACCGAAGAGCGAAGGACCCAGCATACCAAACGTGATCCTCGAGTGCTGTTACCAGACGACATTCGCACCCTTAATAGTAAGGCTAATGATGACTCACGGAAGAATATTGGCATTCATAGAGCACCAAACAGTGAATGCATTGAGGTAACGAGTTGATGTGCGCTCTCCCAGCGGAATTGGCTCAATGCCTTGTTCTTCAACTCGGCCCAGGCGCAAAAGTTTGTGAAGCAAGCCATCGCACTTGCCGTGTCCATATTGTGGTTTTGTCGTGACTGCCTGACAGCTCTTCCCTTCTAGTTGTTCGTGTAGTTGCCGGTCCACGGAGGACGGCCGTGACGCTTCAATATCCGTCATATTACTGACTTGCCGTTGTCTCTGATCTTGTGCAAAGCTCTCGTGACGATGAACTCGACTGAGAAGAGAGTGGTTGCATATGACTATAGAAAAGATGTTGAGACTTTCAGAGAGCGGTATGCAGATGTGACCAGCAAGTTCAAGCTGCAGATCCACTGCTGTTCGATCTTGTCCTCCCTCGGACCCGACTGTGTGGTACAGGAGGGTGGCAATTGGGTATGTGTAGACGCACAAAGGATGTCGGACGATCTCCGTTTAGTTGATGAACCACCGCAATGTCTCTGTCTGAGATAGTGTGGCAAGCGCGGGAAGGTAGACGAAAAAACCTTGGAAATATCAGATCAAAAACTATGAGATGTCTGCAGTAGAAATGGAAGACCATATTCCGAGGATTTAAACCACCCACGGAGCATGGCCGGCTGTCAAATACTATTCGTATGGCTCATCTTCTGTTGCAGACAGGGCATTCAATGACTCTTTCTAGACCTTGGCAGGCAGCTAAAATCTCTAGCGGGTGTGGTTGCCGCCATGTTTAAGTACCAATACTTTGTGACTAGCGACAACTCAAACTCAGTCAAGCCAATCTGCCAATTCCAGCGGCAGTGTTTTGTCCGCGGGGAACAAGGACGGGGGTAACTGTACTTGGGCCCCGACTTCAAGGACCCTTCGAGTGCATCGGGCTGCCATCCGAAGGGCTACTGGAGAGGCTTCGCTGACCTTTCTTTGATCTGCAGGAAAAGTCTACTTATTGTCGTCAGGGCTCTTGACTCCCCTTGCTCGGCACGTCCCAGAGAATTTCTCTCCCCAAAAGAACCTTGACAGTATTCGGGTACCCTTTGGCCTGCTTTGCAATCAATTCCCGCTCAACATTCAGATTGACAGGCTTGGGTTGATCAGCATGTTCTCGATATGCGAACCTCACTTGCTTGAGCTCTTGGGTAAGGATCGCTAGCGTTTCTGTGCCGAGTCACAGCACGCCGGCTAGACTCGGACACTGAGAGATATCGATCTGCTAACGGAGCCATCTCCGACACGAGCGATGCCTGGAACATCCGACCCAGCGACTTTGCAGCAAGCATAGCTCGATCAACAACGTACAGCGCCAATTCAGGGACGGTCACCTTGCTCATGTCGTAGAAAAATGTACAATTTGCTAGTAAAATCATCAAACCAAGAATAGTCTCACTCTGTTCCAGCGTTTGGGGCCTGCGGGTTGGATTGCATCTACTTTGCACGGCAAACAGCACATCATCTACTTTTCTCAACTTAATATGTCCGGTCCGACTTGAGTGTGTGAAGTCAGCGCAAATGATGTGCTTTAAACCCTTCTTAGCTCTTTTCTTTTTATATACAGCTACTCCGTATTAGTATTGACGAATAACGCGCTGCCTTGCCGTGAACAAGTCGCACTGCTAACGTTCCAAGCCTGCCTCCTCCTGGTACTGCGCAATTCGCGGCATTAATGTCCGCTAGAAGCCCCCGTGTTATGGTTAGACCCAACGAAGTTCCGCAACTACTGCTGAAAGCTTCTGTCAGACGGCCGTGAACTGCAAACGACTACTGGGTCTCCGAAGGGCATTGCTGGTGAGCTTCGCTGAGTCATTAAATGAGCCCTGGATAGTCGAAGCCTACACTCGGTACATGAGATAGGCGGGCACATGTGCTGTATCCATGTTTAAACAGGAGCTATGAAGGGCTTTCATCCTGATATTGTTGGCTTGTTGCTAATAACAAAGCAATGATCTACACGCCAAGCCAAAACACCATGGGCCGGTAACTTGGAGTCATCTAGACGGCGGGGATTCGGGACGGGACAGTCAAGCCCGGACGAGGCCCGGTGCCAAACAAGGAGAGACTCCCGGCCCCAAACCCCACCTGACCGGTACGGGGTACCCCTTACCCCTGATTTGAACCCCATTTCTTTTCTGACGGTTCGCACTGCTGGTTGCATTCCGAGCCCAAAACGCTTAAACCTTGAGAGCCACCACGGTCACTTTCGTCTCAAAGGGCTCAGCTCAACGCGCTACGTGGCGGCTCCTGAGACACAATGCCCCTCGGTTATATGCCTTGTCTGAAGCTTACATTGAACAGCTATGGCCTTACACCATGACTTCCCGTAGCGATCTCTCCAGTCAAAGCTCCCTTGGAGCATCCTGAACACCTGTACGACTAGTCGACAAACCCCCCTTTCGACATGATAACATGGCCAATCGACGACAACGGCGTGTCATAATCATCGCTGTAATCCTCTTCGGTCTCTTTACTTTCCATAGCCTTCGTTCTAGTAGCGAACCGCCTCCCGTCGTCCGCGAACATGTCAACATCCGCCTCGTAAAGAGCAGCTTCGACTGGGCCAACCATCGTCACAAGTACCCCGTATCTCCGTCAAGAATGCACCATCTGCCTACACAACGGCCAAAGACACTCCCGCGAGTCCAATTCAACTTTGGCGCGAAGCGAATGCGCAAGAACGACGCGAAATCTGAGTCGCGACGAAAGGCGGTCCGTGAAGTCTTTGTCAAGAGCTGGAATAGTTACAAGGAGTACGCGTGGGGCTTTGACGAGTTGACGCCGGTTACGGCCAAGGGGAAAGACACCTTTGGAGGTTATGCGGCAACTCTGGTCGATGCGCTCGACTCCTTGTGGATAATGGACTTGCGCGATGACTTTGACGCCGCCTTGTCCGTCATTGGAGCCATGGATTGGGATGATACAAAGGAGACGGCTGTTAATGTCTTTGAGACTACTATTCGTCACCTCGGAGGACTATTGAGCGCGTACGACCTTAGCGGGGAACCCGTACTGTTGCTCAAGGCCATTGAGCTCGGCGACATGCTGTATGCGGCCTTTGATACACCGAACAGGATGCCTCCTTTCTGGTTGGATTTTCAGCTTGCTAAAGAGGGAAAGCTCGTGGCTGGCACATCAGATCCTTCAGCATCGCCATGTTCGCTATCGCTTGAGTTCACAAGACTGTCGCAAGTGACCGGAGACCACAAGTACTTTGACGCGATCGAGAGAGTCAAGCTATTTCTCGAAAGCACGCAGCGGGAAACTCAACTTCCAGGTATGTGGCCGGCGCTCATCAACTTCCGGGATGAGAGTGTTTTGCAACACAACGAGTTCACATTGGGAGCACTTGCCGACTCTCTGTACGAGTATTTGCCCAAGATGCATGCTCTGCTCGGAGGGACGGACCCGGCCTACGAGAAGATGTATCGCCATGCGATGCACGTAGTTGAGCAATACCTCCTGTTCCGTCCAATGCTCCCCGACAACGAGGATATCCTATTCTCTGGGACAGCATTTGCCGGGGGTGATGTGCGGCGCAACCCCGAGAGCCAGCACTTGTCGTGCTTCGTAGGCGGGATGTTTGGGCTAGGCGGCAAGCTTTTCGGTATCAAAGAGCACATGGGTCTCGCCGAAAGGCTGGCCCGCGGCTGCGGGTGGGCGTACAACTCATTCCCAACGGGTCTGATGCCAGAGATCTTTGGCATGGTTCCTTGCGAGACACTGGATGGCTGCAAATGGGACGAGGAGCGGTGGAAGCGCGAAGGCGCGTCAGGGTTCAAAAAGGGGTTCTCACACGCGCGGGACCCTCGTTACATCCTGCGTCCAGAGGCTATTGAAAGTATCTTCCTGATGTATAGGATGACTGGAAACCCGGAGTACCAGGAAATAGCATGGACAATGTTTCAGTCTATTGTGAATGCCACGGAGACTCATATTGCGAACTCAGCCATTGAGGACGTCACCGTGAGGGGAGAAACGAAAAAGCTTGATTCAATGGAAGTAAGTCACAGCATCTGCCCAGAGCCAAAGAAAAGTAAAGAACGCAGACTAATGGCACCACAGAGCTTCTGGATGGCGGAAACGCTAAAGTATTTCTATCTCATCTTCTCGCCTCCTAGCCTAGTCAATCTTGACGAGTATGTCTTGAACACAGAGGCACATCCGCTGAAACGACAGTTACTTTGAGCAGAAAATACAGCACCACCACTCTAGACCAGGCCATTCTCACTGCGATGCCTCGAGTTAAGGAACTTTTGCATCAATTCGTAGCTGTCTATTGGATCCGATATATACAGATAAGCGCAGAAGTATGCATACCTCGTGATGCTGGACCTGCCAGCCTTCCTCCCTTGCGGGCCCGACTCTGCATTGATGCCGTTCATATCTCATCGTGTGCAAGTTCGCTCCCAAATGGTATCACGTGGGGAGCCACGCCCCCCTTTCCCGCTGGCCGCCTCTTCCTTCAAGGTAGCTTCTTTAGTGCTTCCATCTCAGCAGGGTGACTGAGGCCTTGGCGAATTCGTACGGGCCCTTGCCATCCCACTTGCTCTCAGTAATACCGACAGGGTTCTTGTCGCCAGTGTTAACGACCTTGACATTCTCGCCAGTGACGGTGTAAACCTGAACCTCAGCACCCTCCTTGACACCCTCGAGATCGACGGAGAATCCCTTGGTCTCATGGACGTTGACGACAGCCAAGTTGACAAAGCCGTCGTCGTCGATGGTGGCACTGACGTCGAGGTAAGGAGTCTCGATGGCGCCGCGGATCCAGACGGGCTCGGTTGCACCCTCGTACTCGGGAGCGCGAACGTGGGTGGCAATGGTAGATCCTCTCATGTACTTGCTGAACAACAACAGAGGCCACCAAGTAGTCTGCTTGGTGATGCCTTCCTTCGTAGTCATCAAGGGGGAGATGACGTTGACAGATTGAGCAATGTTGGCCATGCCAACGTACTTTGCCTGACGGACAAATACGTTGAGCCATACGCCGACGGCAAGAGCGTCGGAAAGAGTGTATCTGCGGCCCATCGTTAGTATTGCTAGTATGAATCATAAAGGTCGGAACATAGAAAGGGTTGGCTTACGCCTCCTCGGCACCCTCTTCACCAGGTGCTCTGACGGGATCCCAAACGTTCCACTCGTCAAAGCAAATCTTTTGTCTCTTGCATGTGGGCGGCACCTTGTTCTCAATGCGGGCCAGGTCGATAAGGCTACCAGTGATCTCAATGGCGCGCTCGGCGGCTCTGGGTGCTGTGCAGGGGAGGGGAGGCAACGTCAGTTGTCTATCCTGTGACTGGCAAAGAGCCATATGACAAGTAGATAGGCGGAGAGAACTTACCTGTGGCATTTTTGAGATGGTCTTCCGATGCAGTGTAAAGGTGGATGCTGTGCATGTCGATCAACGACGCAGTGGTGCTGCCACCAAGGCCATGCAAACTCCACGTGATGCACTCCTTGATCACATATGTGTCCCAGCTACTAAACCCAGTCTCACCGCAGAGAATCAGTTCCAAAGAGGGATCGAGAAGCTTGAGCGCCTTGGCCCATTGGTAAGCCTGCTTGGCGTAGTCTTCCTTGGTCATTTGCATAACCTGCCAGGGACCCCAACACTCATTGCCCAGGGCCCAGTATTTGACCTGTCATTGGAAGGTGAGTTGAATGTCCCTGTGCACATACAATGATGGTCCTTGAAAAGGTCTGACTTACGTTGTAAGGCTTCTCGCGTCCATTCTTGCGGCGGAGGTTGGCATAGTAGGTGTCCTTGTCCGAGTTACAGTACTCAACCCAAGCCAGAGCTGAACATGCCAGTATTAGTCAACCATACGCATCGTCCAGATCTTGTTAGGACCGAGTCCCGGCCGGTACTCCGGCGCTGGGAGAATAAATTACCCTCATCAAGCGTGCCAGTGCCAAAGTTGAGGGCCAAGTAAGGCTCAGCGCCAACAACCTCACACCACTTCATGAACTCGTCTGTTCCGAACTCATTGCTCTCGACGCCGATCCAAGCCAGCTCAGGCCTAAACGGTGGACGCACATTAGCCACTCGCTGCACTCCAAACGCGGGCCGCTTACGCAGGGGTCCAGATCCCAGAAGGATTCGGCGTCGAGGGGTCTCGATTCCCATGCTGGCAACCGGAAGTTCAGATTGGGAGTTTTTCCATACCTCTTGGGACGGTTTTCTTTGGGCCCGACGCCGTCAATCCAGTGGTAGGTAGCAACAAAGTTACCACCTGGGTACCTTACAACGGGGCAATTGAGTTCCTTGAAAGCCTCAATAACGTCCTTTCGGAAACCGTTCTCATCAGAGAGAGGGTTGCCAGGGTCGTAGATTCCACCGTAGATGCATCTTCCCATGTGCCTATGAGAAGCGTGTTAGTAGGTTTGCATATTTACGCCAGAAGCTTGGGGCGAGAGGCAGGCGGCGGCGGCGGCGGCGGCGCAGCACGAGCTTACTCTGTGAAGCCACCATAGACGTTGTCATCGATTTTGGAGACGACATGGGAGGGGTTCAGCGTGATGCTGGGGCGAGCATCCTCTGCGATCTTGGTGAAGGTCGCCATGGCTGGAATTGGGTTTGTGGTGTGGTAAGGCGTGGTGAGAGCACTCTCCTACTGTCCGAGCGTGAGTGCGGTGGTGGTGGTCCGATCAACCGGTAGCTGGTAATTTTATGCAAAAAGAATAGCTAGTCGATGAGTGGTGGAAATGGACAGGATGTGTGTGCCGTGGCCGCAAATGCACGGGATTGAGGTCGGAATTTGAACTCGCCAGGGGCGGGGGCAAGCGGTGAAACAACGGAGACGGGCTGAAGAGTGGCAGAAAGGCAATGAAGGAGGATATTGGGCCGGCAGAGGAGGGATCGCATACCAGGGACCTGGCTACTCGGTTTTGGGCATCAGTTCCCGTAACAGTCGCTTTTACAGAGATGGGATACCCGAGCCAAGACATTGGACTGGGGCTATGTGAGGAGGGGCGGGTGGCCCCCGATTCGCCTTGGTTACTGACACGAACGGCGCTCATCGATAGTGACCAGTTATCAGACATGTTGGAGCGGAGAGAAAGTGCGGCTCTCAAGTCTCTACTCCAACAGCGAGAGGTGAAAGGCAGGTGATACAACAGGCGCACGAATCATAGAGGATACCATGCGGAGAAAGTCGACGATAATGCGGGTGCCGGGGCATCGGGGTGGGGTAGTCGGCTCCGAGTGGCACAGGATTGGGCATACGGTATGACTGCGTGGGATGGTCTGCAGAGAGATGAGGGATGAGGATGGGAGGGGGTGCTAGCTTGGGATGGGATGGTGGGGTTGGAACAGGGTCTCTTGGGGATAATGGGGAAATAGTTGGAGATATTGATGGATGGGGAATCATAAGCCGGCCCTTTTGTTGTTTGGGGCTGCATGTTGCTGATGTTGGCATCATGTGTACGGAGTATGAGGTTGGTACTTGGGGAAGCATACGATATCTACATGTACGACGTACGGGCATGTATTGAAGGAAGGGAACCGCTGGCGGTAGTGAGGGGGGCTTTCATGCAGATGGCTCTGTTGTCTCTTTTGACATGAACTTTTACCTACCCATTTCCATAGCATGGATCAGTACGGATAGTAGCCGAAGTGTGAGGATGGAGACCATTTCAGGTGGGTTGCCTCTATCCGTACTTTTGCTTAGACCTTGGTTGTCACAGTCAGGCCAGAACCCATTTCAGGTCTGACTAACAACTTGGCGTGCAGGTAACAGCCAGGGCAACGGGTATTGGGTACAGTGTGGACTTGAACCATGATGTGGTGATCAAGGCGCGTACTGTGGTGTGCCAAGATTAGCAGATGCGAAGATTATCGCCTAGTTGTCCCCCGATATCCGTACATTTGCAAGGACAAGCGATTGAAGAGTATATGAAGGCTGAAGCGAAGCCGGGGAATAACGAGGAGTAAATGAGTGCTGGTTGGACCGGCTGCCGAAGAACGGCAAAGCAGGCCGAACGACGAGGCGCGAAAACGGTCGAGACGGGCCCGAAGAAGAACGAACCATGGACAACAAAGAGAAGACTCCAAAGAGTGTCCAGGAATCTGGAGTGACCTGAGCGAGTTTGCGGAGAGGACCGAGAGAATGCGGAACATTTTCCAGCCATTTCTTTTGCTTTTGGGAGGCCAAGACCCGAGGTGAAGTGGTTGAGGTACGTGCCTGGAAGCAAGGTGAGGAGAGGAGAGGAAATAGCGGGGCCGTCACCGGTCAATATGGAGACACTGTTCTACGGCAACGGCTTTCATTGGAGCGCATAGGCCAGACGCTAAAGCTTGATTCTCCTCCAATCTTGTGCCAGTCTTGCCTGTGACGACATTGGCTGTAATAAGTGGGTACGGGACGTCGGTCGGTCCAATTAGAGTGATTTCATCCGGTACGTATCTCTATACTCTGCTTGCACCCGAGAGTACGTACCTTACTTTGGCCATTTCGCCAAGGTAAGGTAAGGTACGTGGGTACCTCTGTCGGCCAAGGTACAATATTGAAGCAGACGGGTCATCACGGAATCAAAGAAAAAATACCAAGATGGAATGGATACCCATGCTGGAGAAATAGAGTAGAAACCAGAGGATCACAAAGTCATGCTAGTGCTACGGCGGAGATGAAGCGCAATTGACATCTTTTACGAAGCGCGTTGCCGAGCACTTCGGTGGGCAATGACACGCCAATGTGGCCAATGTTTGAGAGCGTCCATTCACTTCCCCCCCGCTTGTCGATATTTCTACTTTACGGGAAACAAGACAGCCGAACATTTTTCATGAATCGTTTTCAGCAAGCGGTTAATAGGGAAGTTCAGAGGCCTCACGTACGTTCTGGCTCTGCACAAGGCTAACCAACTTTCAGGCAATGGTAACCGAGTTGCCGTGTGACTGATTCTTGTCAACACGGGTCTCTCCTCCCTCGCCGCGAGTTCCAGCAGCTTAGCCAACAATTTGATCATCATGGAATTCACCGACACGCACGTCCTTGACGTCTCCATTCATTGCCGTGTCGCTCGTCGGTGTTGATGAGCCGAACACCCACAGTCTTCCACACACACACAAACACACACACACACCCGCAAACTCCGCCTTGAAACTCCCAACCCTGGTAAATTTCCCCGCGTGCCCACGTTGCTCAAAATTATGGAGATTGGAGAAGGTCCTGGCCGTGAACCTTAACGGGCGCTTCTCCAAATCGACCTCAACTCTGTTACCTCTGCGTCAGTGCCTACCAGTACCTCGTTCTTGACACGCGCAGGTCCTGGCACACACACACACACACACACACACACATATGCATAGGTACACCGAATGAACACCTCCAGCTTTCACCAACAACTAAGGTAGGTAGCAAACTAGCGCGACATCTCCGCATCCCAGCGTAACCTGGGGCAAGGGGGTGGTCTGGGGCCGGGGCAACCGTCACCGATGCCGTCTTTCAACGGGCTGAGTGGCCCCGGAAATGGTAAGCCAGGGATTCGAATGCCTCTCCACTCTCGCATATCCCCCGGGAACTTTACCACCAACCGAACGCGCCACGGCAACAGTACTTGACCTTTCGCCTGCGCTAGCCTGTTGTATCCAAACCTGCCCACGCTTCTGGGAGAGCACGAGGGAGAGACTCAGAGAGGCAGACCTGCTTGATCTCTTCGATGCTCCCACGCTCCCATCCGATGCGACCTTCGGGCCAAAGTGGATACGGGGAAACATGGGGTCGCTCAAACATTCTATAAAGACACGACGATCCCTTCGTGCTGATGCAACACGCGAGACCGTTCCATTGCAGCTTGACGAGTCGGTTTGACCCTGAACCCTCGAATCATCAGATTCCCCAGCCCAGGCTTGGACGTTGCCTACTTTCTTTCGAGCCCGCGACGACAACCTACCCAACACGTGCTCGAGAGTCCTTCACCAACAAACTCCCCAAGACCAAGCCCATCATGGCGCTCCCTCCCAAGTGGTACCAGTTCCTGGTGAGCGTCTTCGCCTCACTTGGTTCCTTCAACTACGGTTATGATTTGGGTGTCATTGCCTCTGCCATTGCCTCGGCTTCTTTCAAGACCAAGTTCGGCGAAGATCCCAATGAGATGTAAGTCACCGCCTAGCTCATACTTGATATCGACTGGAATCTCTGGTCGATCATCAATCTCCATAAATCCATGGGCATCAAGACTGACTCCATCCCCCTCCTCAGTGGCGCTGTCGTCTCCGTCTTCACTGGAGGTGGCTTCATCGGCGCTGGTGTTGCCGGTCCCACTGGTGACAGACTAGGCCGTAAGAAGACCATCCTCATCGGTGCCTCCATCTTCGTCCTCGGTGGTGCTCTTCAGGCCGCTGCCCAGTCTCTCGCTTTCCTCTACGCTGGCCGTGCCCTCGCTGGTATCGGGTATGTCAATCCCTTCAACTCAAATCTGCCAACAACAACATCATGAGGCAATACTGACCAAGTATTCTACAGTGTCGGTATGTTGACGATGATCATTCCCATGTACCAGGCCGAACTCTGCCACCCTAGCATTCGTGGACGAGTCACCGCTCTGCAACAATTCATGCTCGGTGTCGGTGCTTTGGCTGCTGCTTGGATCTCATACGGAACATACATTGGGTTTGCCGAGAACGACAACAACCAATGGCGCGTCAGTTTGGGTATCCAGTGTATTCCTGGTGGCATTCTGGCTCTGCTTATTCTCCTCTTCCCCGAGTCTCCTCGTTGGCTCATCGACCACGGCCGTCTTGACGAGGGTCTTGCCACCTTGGCCAAGCTTCACGCTCACGGCGACATCAACGATGCCTGGGTCCGCGCCGAGTTTGACCAGATCCAAGATTCCATCGCCGCCGAGCACGAGGGCTCCGCAAAGTCTTACAAGGAGCTCTTCACCGACAAGTCTTGCTTCCGTCGTCTCTTCCTCGCTTGCGCTCTCCAGGCTTCCATTCAGATGACCGGTGTCAGTGCCATCCAGTACTACTCCGTCGCAATCTACGAGAAGATTGGCATCGCCGGTGATGAGACCCTCCGCTACCAGGCCATCTCCTCCGTCATTGCCCTCGTCGCTCAGTTCCTCTGCATGATGCTCATCGACAAGACTGGTCGCCGCTGGCCCTTGATCTTCGGTAACCTTGGCAACTGCGTTACCTTCATCATCGCCACCATCCTTCTGGCCAAGTTCCCTCCTGGCTCTCCTCATGCTAGCGGAGCCACCGCCTGGGGCTTCATTGCCATGACATGGCTTTACAACTTCAGCTTCAGCGCCACCTGCGGTCCTCTATCGTGGATTATTCCTGCCGAGATCTTTGACATGAAGACTCGTTCCAAGGGTGTCTCCATCGCTACCATGACTTCATACGCCTTCAACACTCTCATCGGTCAGACCACCTCTGTGGCCCTCGATGACAAGCACGGCATTGGCTGGCGCTGGTACATTCTGTTCATTGTAAGTTACCACAAAGGCTGGCGCAAGGTTCAATAAGTGATAGTGGCTGACACGTATTCTCACAGGTGTGCAACTTTACCAACGCCCTCTTCTTCTGGGCATTCCTCCCCGAGACTGCTAAGCGTCC